CAACATTACCTTTCCAGCTTTCGTTAACGCTGCAACTGACACCATCACTGACTCACCGCCTCTACCACCGCAATATATCGACTTCATTGGATTCACACATGCGACGAACGACCAGGTCCCCAACAGCGACGAAGGACAACTTCAAGAGGACGACAACCACGACGATGAACAGACCATGTCACGACACCCCAACCAGTGCGCTGATGGCGGCTGGATTGAAGCCAAAGGGCTTTCGCGATAGCTCCACACATTACGTAGAGTGTAGCGGTTCGTGTACCGAAGACAGTACTGGGCGTGCGCTTCCTGTAGCGTTGAGGATTGGGCGTATTGGTTCTTTTGCTCTCTAGTGCGAATTCGTCGTGTCGGGTTTACATGGAGGTGTCGTGTCGGAAAAACTTGTGGGTAGCGCGTTCGCGGGCTATGGCATTAGTTACTGCAGCGACAGTTGCCATTCGTGGGTGTCGTGTGTCGGATTCTTCTGGGCGACGCAAGCGCATGTTCATGAGTGCTGGCATTGGTATTCGCAGGTGTCGTAACGGATTTGACTAGTGGGAGACCTAGCGCATGTTCATGGGTGTTCGCATGGCTTCATGTGGTGTTGGCAGTCATGGATGGTTACTGCAGCCGTTGGTATTAGCATGAATAATGACCGCGAACTAGGAACAATACGGCGGGCGTTGCCCCCTGACATTCCTTCTGGCATCACACACCCATCTAAATCCTGCCCACACCACACAAGCGTATACACACGCTTCCGATTCATCTTGGGAAGCGCTCACAGTGGGCGTGGCGGCGTAAGCCGCCGTAAAACCTTGTATATTATATACATAGACTATATATAAAAGTAACTAACTGCTGTCCCGGCGCAGACCAAAAGCTACCCTTGGGCGACTTTTCCCTCCACATATCGCAAAGAGTTCCCTGAACCTCCCCCGCGGCTTGGCTCTACGGCTCTGTTGGGTTTCATGAGTTTTTTTTTTTTGGTCTTCACTTCCAATCAGCGCTCACGGCACTTGTGCCGTTTACTCCAACCCGTGGTCACACAGAAGTGCCCCTCTACCCTCCCCTCCTGCGGTAATTTGCCCNTGGGCGACTTTTCCCTCCACATATCGCAAAGAGTTCCCTGAACCTCCCCCGCGGCTTGGCTCTACGGCTCTGTTGGGTTTCATGAGTTTTTTTTTTTTGGTCTTCACTTCCAATCAGCGCTCACGGCACTTGTGCCGTTTACTCCAACCCGTGGTCACACAGAAGTGCCCCTCTACCCTCCCCTCCTGCGGTAATTTGCCCTTGATTTTTAATGCGAGAAGAGTTCAGCACTCTCTTCCCTCTGTGTACACACGAACTAGCGCTATCCACTAGGCCAGGAGCGGAAGCGAGAGAAAAACTCACTTTTTTGCAAGAAAAGCTCGCTTACGCCGGAATTCGAACCCCTGACCTGACCTCGAGAAGGTTTCGAGGTACCAACTAGTAACTAGATAGACCACCTGGGCGACCGGCTCTACGAATGAACGGTTTTCGAAAGAAGGAACTACTGCGTCTCACGGTACTCGCCGCCCCTTCCCTTTGCGTGGTACAAATAGGATCGAACATCCTCCAAGTTTTTTACTTTGGTCTTCACTTCAAATCAGCGCTCACAGCACTGGTGCCGTTCGTTTTACTCCAACCCGTGGTCACACAGAAGAGACCCTCTCTACCCTCCCCTCCTGCGGTACTTTGCCTTCGATTTTCAATGCGAGAAGAGTTCAGCAGTCACTCTCTTCCCTCTGTGTGCACACGAACTAGCGCGATCCATCCACGCCACTAGGTCAGGAGCGGAAGCGAGAGATAAACTCACTTTGCAAGGGGAGTTGCGTCGCTCCTCTTGCCCCGCGGTTGAAACCAGTACGCGCCCTCGCCCAGTGCTTCCTCTGGAGCGAGGTCGGACCTCAGTCTTGCGACACGCTTGTTAGCGCTCACGAAGTGCTCAGGGTGGACTCCAAGAAGCTCTGCCTTGCGCTTCGACGTTACCCTTGAAGGCTCATCCCCGTCGTCCCCGTCGAACGCAGCAGCCGTGAGGATCGTCTGAAACGTTCGCCTTCCTTCATTGGTTCGCCCCTGTGTCGATGCTGCCGCAAGAGCCTTCTTGGTGCCCGCTACCATCTTCCGCGCATCACGTGCGTCTGCCTGCTCCTTCCGGAGAAGATCTGCGGCGGCCACTCCTTGTCCCGCCAGAAAATCCAACAGCTCACCCTCCGCCATGCTTCTCATCGCAGCAAGAAACGACTCAGAAGAGTCCCTCCAGTCTGGTTGCGGCTACGGGCCACGTGGCACAACAGCGGGGAGAGCGAGGGGAACGGCCAGTCGTCGTCAGGCTCGATTCGCATGCCAAACCCGCCATCATTGAAGCATTCACGTAAATTCGAAGGCGCAATCAGCACACAACACGGCAGTGCGCTCAACAATACAGTAAGTACATGAGTGTCGGCTTCAGCATCTTTATCGTAGGAGCAGGTGGGGGGACGTACAAGAGTGTCCACGGGGTGGATGTGAAGTTGGCTTTTCAACGGGTTGTAGTTGAAAAAAGGACTTTTTTCC